GATGCCCTGAGCACGTTTATCATTATAAATGTTTTAAGCCCTGAAAACGCACGCACAAGGAGACGTGACGATATTGTGCCATGACCTTTTGTGTGCGTGTGTTTTTTTTGGCGCCTGATGCAGTTATAATAGAATTGCCCTGTTGCGTTACATTAGGCTATATTTATACTGTATATAAAGAATCGCGCCTTCGCTCGCGCTTTCTGCCTCGAAAGATACTGCACGGATTTAGCCATCATCGCCCGGCACGTCCACACCCGCTCGTTCTGACGGGGCGCCCTCTCGCGTCTTCGAAGAAGTGGCGGCGGCGGCATAGTGACGGCTGAGTATTACGGGCAGCCTCCATGACAGGGCCTGTCAGGCAAGGCTGTGTAGCACTTTGCCGTCTATATCGGCCACGGCCGGGGGCAGCCGCGTCTTGACTGCAGCGGTTTCGCAATGTTCGGAAGGGCACTTGAGAAGGTTCCTGACAGGAGGTGCGGCTACATCGATGAGCGGCAGCCCGAGTTTTGAAACAGGCGGGGCATGTTAACAAAGGGCGCCCCGCACTTCAGAGTACGGGTAGTCGCGATAGCTCTGGAGAAGCAGTGAGAAGGGTGAACGCTCGATTCAAACAGCGTGAATTTAGCTTACGTGGCAATTTTCGCGATCGCTCGCGCGGCGAAGTATCGTATAGGTAATTTTATTTATTGATTTTCGATAATGTTGACCCCAGTTTTGTAGTCATTACAGAGGAAATAAATTTACGTAATCGCTCACAAAGAATGATACTCCAAGTGACATACAAATTCGTTTACACTATTGTTAAACAACAACAAAATCAAGAATAAATGACTTCGCGAACAAGGAAATATTCAGATCAAAATTCGCTATACGATGTGAAAAAAGTAATCGATTTTGCGCATCTTCGAAATCAGCTGCAGCCATCATGCGCCAGGCAAACTGTGCCGCTTTTTATTTGCGTGAGGTAAAAAAAAATTGAAACGAGAACCATAAATTTTATTCTAAAGATTTTACTGAGTGCATGATGTCAGAAGAGCCAGACAAATGTTGGTCGCTGAATGAACAATATGCATACGAAAAATATGTAATCGTTGCAGTCATTGGCGGGAAACGGGACGCTCTTGTTTCGCTTAATTCGAACGTGCTTCGAGGTTCAGAATCGATTGAGTCCTACGTAAGCCGTTGGACTTCTTTTGTTGACTATTTCACGGATGGGTTTCCGTGCCGCTCTATTAGGCTGTTAACCTTTGCCGTTTCGTATCTTGAACTAAACGGACTCGGCTGCGGGGGGCGTATACAAATGGAAATAGTTTGTTTGTCTCATTCAACGATCCGTGCGCTTATATGAATTCACGTCATGAGACACAAAAATAAGGAAATATTCGTTTAACAGCTCAAGGTATGCGGCCTCCGTATGTCTCTTGTTGAAGCCGTCTATATGCGTTCGCTATTTAAAAAACGTTTATGCCGAATCCTTATTTACACTGTTTTATCAGAACACTACGATGGATGCTAGAGTTTGAGCTGTACTTGTAAACACGATTCTTCGAAAATGCCCGTAGGTAACACACGAGGCATTTACCATTTTACGAGCGCTCGTTCTTCGTTCGCATTTTTCCTGTTTGAATCTCCACGATGACCTTACAATGTGAAAAAAAAAATGAGCACCTCGGTTATGTTGACTCAAAAGAGGGCATTTTGTTCGGGGTGCTAAATCTCCATATCTAGCATGAAACTTGGTTCAGTAGCACACTGCTGTTTCAGCAAGTTGGCATAGCGTGCTGCTTAGCGAAAATACGACAAAGCAGCCACGTATACACAATACCAGCACTATTTCTTGTATGTTTCACGCGTCTACCGTCTTAATTTCAAGATGTCTAACTCGCAGTATACTAGCAAACCATCGACACATAGCCCATTCTGCTGCCGGACATTGAGTGCCTCACACAAATGTAATGAATTTTGGGCGGTTTGAAAACACACTCGCAGACTAAAGGGTGCAAGAAGCAGATGACCACAAGAAGAGGGCGACATGGGCCCAATCTAACGGCTGACTTTATGCGGGGAGTTTTCGAATACCCCAAGGATGTAGCGTCCAGTTCACTACGCATGTGCAAAACCCAAACCACGTTTAGTTTTTTTTGGGTTGGGGACGCTATTATTTAAACTTAGTGGGAGCCCCAAAGCATGCCCAAAGGTTCTCGCTCAGGCAAATGTGACGGCACCCACTGGAGTGACGGCTCTTGGCCAAGACTAGCATGGCATGACACAGAGAGAGTGTCCAAAGTGCCGCAGACCCTGTTCGAAAACTCATCGCTCCTGCTTGATCCAAAGTGTCCACACGCAAAGGGTTTTGGGGCCCCTGTTCGAGAACTCGCTAATAACCGAAAAGCGAAAATATACAAGCTCGATATTAATGCATAGGTCAACGATCCGTGGCCATATAGACCATTTGAGATTCGTGCAGTGACACGGAAGGTCTGCTCAAGCACGTGTCACCAGGCTTGTGATGGTAGAACGTTTCGGTAGTTTCCCGCATAATTTTATCCTGGTATCTCGATTAAACCTTGGTGTCACTACTTCTGGACCCCTGCTTGTTTATCCTATCGAATTGAGTATCCCTGACATGGCTTACGTGTCCCATAATCCGCAGGCCATAGCGTCATCTCATCGCACGCGTACGTCACCTGCCTGACTATATTCTCATCTTCAACATTACTATCAGCCTTACGTCGCCCCACGCCAACACCCGCGTCTACTCGCGCACATATCAGCACACTATAGCGTTCGTACGCCCACTCAATACTTACTTGAGAGAGACGAGAGTTTCAGAAAAGAAGTGGGGGAAGATGGTGCCATGGCCTCTCTCCGCAACCTCTTTCACACAGGTTCTTCCCAGAAGTGTATCCTCTGAGCCGTGTCTTTTCATAAAAAAGCCTTAGTGGAAAGCGCCCACTGATCACAGGCATTCGAAGGTACGAAATCAGAAGCTTTATCGTAGAACACCGATTATGTGTCATGGTGGCGTTAAATAGCAGCGGCATCGTGATGAACAAAGCAAACTATTCCGCTAACAGGCTCAAGCGTCGACTCTCTCAGACTCAGATCGAGCCGTAACTTCGTGCGGAAGTCAGTCCGGGAGAGCAATATCTTTTCGTGAGTCCGAATGAGAAAGAAAAAAATTCAATATACATGAGTCCTGCTGAGACCAAAGCGCAAACTATATTTATCGAGTTAAACAAAATGAGCTCCACTGTTGTTGTTTTTTTTTTTGCCGACCTAAGTCTGCCTCACGACTACGCCTCCTCTCACATCGCAACAAACCGTCGCTCCTGCAAGGCAACTTTGATTAAGGCCTCAGCTCTCAAGATTAGTGACGCGTGCGCAATTGTTGCTGGGTCACGGAGTTTTAGCACTTAGTGGCGATAGACGGCTGAGCAGCCAGCTGGTAAACAAGGCATTAAGAAATTCAAGCCACGGCGGCTTCATGAGTGGATGAGAGAGACAGAGGGCATGCGTCGAGGAGTGAGCGAGAGAGAGAAAGAGAGAGAATGAAATTGTTACGATGTGGAAAAAGTGAGGAAGAGAGAAATGCACAGTGTAGTGAATTGTCTCTCGTCGGTGAGGGTACCTCAATTGCACAGTGAGGGAATCGGGGAGACGGTGCGGCGGTATGCTGCGGTCCTTCAGGATCAGCCGAGAGGGGAAGGGGAGAAATAGGGGAGGAGGTGGGGAGTCGTGCGACCGTGTCGCGCAGACCCCGTGCTCTGTTTTGTGTGTGCGCGCGCGCATCAGACACAAAGGCCCCTTCTGCGCAGCGAGCGGCGACGACCACGCCAGCAGTGGGACCTCGGAAAAAAATAGCGTCGGCTATTTCCAGAGACGGAGAAGCTATGAAGCGCCGCCCCACGCTGTCTCTCCCTTCGCGCCCTCTGGGACGCCATCCATCTTTTCCTCTCCGTTTTTATCTCCGGCCGACTTTGACGCGTAGGACAAATGTGCCGCGACGAGCGGCACCCGCAAGTACTTGGTGCATACGCGAACTGACGCGTCTATGGCGCAGCAAAGAAGTTGTGACGAAGGTTGTAGCAAATTAAAGACGTGAGCCCTTGATATTCCCTTCTTTCGTTCTCTTCTGAAGAACCGACGCCACTCAGTGGCTTGAGAACCCAAGCTTGTATGTGTTTGTGTGAGAGAGAGAGGGAGAAAGATAGAGAGAGGAAGAGAGAGAGAAAAAGACAGATTTGTACTCCCCTGGAGGAGCTCGCAGATATGGGAGACTAAAGGAACAGGCGAAAGTAGTTCAAGAACAACTTTAGGTTCCAGGGCCATGCCCGCTGAGTAACTGTTTGAATGGTTTCTGTGTACTGTGCCATAAACCATAAATTCAGTTGTAGGTAAGCGTTACTCCTGTGTTTTTATAGTTAGCACTTACGATCATGTATCAATGAGGAACTCCACCGTGAATTCCTCTTTTTTTTCATCGTTTTTGCCTTGACTGGTAGAGAGAGAAATATTGAAGACCTCTTTTCATCGAAAACACAGCATTGGGAGTCGCCCTAGTCCAGTGTCTCTTCAGCTCGAGCCACGTGTTGGGTCCTCGCGACAAGGCTTACTCATGGTTGGAAGCTGGCCATCACTCCCTCCCAAAGCTCGTTGGAACGATAAAAGTGGTGATTTTTACAGGCGATTGTCTGCAACCTCGTGAATTAGCTTTGCAGTACCTGAGTCATGAGACCGGATCCAGGGCACTTTTTTTTTTCTGATTTCAGCTGTGGTAGTCGTTTTAGGCCATCGCTTCTTGCGCCGTACGCTGTTCCATTCCATTGCCACGACCACGAAGCGTTGAAATTGCTAACGCGTATATCACGCTGAGGTATAGTTACGCTAAAATCATCCCGTGTTTGTGCTCGTGGAAGGTTTCAGCAGTTCTGGCTTCGCGCTCTTCTCGGCATCAAGTATTCTGTTACAGCTGAGCTTCTCTCGTTCAAACGCAGGCAACTTCGACGGGGACTACATCTGGATCTACAAGACGGGCGTGGTGCTATGGATCATCTTCGGCCTTGGCTACCTGGCAATGATCCTGAACTACATATCTCGCGCCATGCGTTGCAAGCAGATCCGGCGAGTGGAGGACCGGCTGTCGGCCAGCTTCCACAGCACGCAGCACAAGTTCGGCCAGCGCCTGGACGAGATACACAGGCTGCTGCAGGAGTTCGCCTCCAAGGTATGCATACACGCGTGACTCGCCCAGTTGTCGCGATATAAATGGGTATACGATATGCTTTCAGACGGAGGTTGTTACGGTATAAGACGCAGTACAAGCGTTGTCTACCGATTGAACACTTGAGCGCGTTGAAGTCTAGCGCAAAAAGAACGCCGCAAGATGACTCAAGACATGAGGAACAAGCCCTCCAGTCTGCTTTGGGGAAAGCTTGTTAAAAACTATAGGTGTGTGCCTGTTCGTCCAATAGCAGGCCATTGTGGAACCAATGGCTGACCATTGTGCTGGCCACAACGGCCTGCCATTGGTTCCCGGCATTGGCCACCGGCGCTGGTTTCTCTGATTGAGAAACCGGCACATTAGCAAGCTTTCCTCTCGCCAAAGACTATATGCGATGGCAATGAAGGTAGGAAGCAAACAGTTATATAATTATTTTATTTACGGTCATAGACTATTTGTGAGTGTGCATTACATGTGCGCTTTTAGGCCGCTGTTGTGTATGAAGTGAAGGGGTGTCTTGTGCAATGTGTTGTCATGTATCCAGTGGTTGTAACTGGTTGTGCCGCTGTAGCGAAGGCCAGCTTGCAGGAGGTGACGGGAGCGTTCCGACTGTAACCCTTGGCATGTCCACATAAGTTTGTATGCATTTGCTTGCATCGCTAGTCTGGTACAGTACGAACACGTATCCCCAATTGGTAAATGGGACCAGTTCCACGATGATATAACAGCGGCTGTAAGGGCCACTCCTGCTTGTGACTGGCAGTGTCCTCCCAAGCATGACTTCATCCGCCCCAGTAAGGTGAGGGGGGGGGAGCAGATACACGGTCGGATAACAGCACGTGTACCATGTCGGAGAACATGTTTACGTGCACGGAGCGAGTTTCAGGGGCTGAGGTGAAAGGGGAATAACTGTAAGGTCTATATTTGGAGGGCAGTGTGCCTTCTGGTCAGCAGCAGTATTGTGTGGGTTCGCAGCGTAGCCTTGAATCCAATGTACATTGACGCAAGTAGCAATAGTTGCGCTTCATCTTATAAATCGCCTCGGAGATTCCCATCGCCTTCTTAAACATTCTTGAGTGCCTGGATAGCTCCTAAGGAATTAGTGAATACGTCAGTTAGCTTAACTGTAGGCAGTGGAATTTTGAACTGCGTCATGGATGCATGGCTTGAAATTCCATCACAACAGAACTGGCTTACGTAGATAGACAATGCTGGGGACCATTTAAGAAGTTGTGCATGGTACTCATGAATGATGTCCTCCCGCCATTTTGTAGGATAGGAACATCTGTGCATATTTTTGCAGGTATTAGCGCACGTGCTTCGATGATGGATCGTTCGTCCATTTTACCTGATTCATCACTGCGCCGTAACTTTGTTGTCCTATTAGATCGGATGGTGGTCAACGAAGTTGCGGCGCAGCGACACATCAGGTATAATTCAACATTAAGGTATCAGGGTGACGATTATTTTCACGAAACCTGTGTGGTAATAAGCATGCATATTTAATAAGGACGCATCTGGCCCGACTGAGCAAGAGTATGGGGCAAAATTGACGAATCTTCTCAGGTAATAAGGCGATTGGGGCACGTCTCGCATGCCCCCCCCCCCCCTTCTGCACGCACACCTATGCTAAAGGCTATATACATTAAAGGACACGACAGAGAAGAAAGAACTTGAGATACAGGTCCGCGAAGCACTTTCGCAATCTGGAGGGGGGGTGTTCGTGCGTAAAAAAAGAAAATAAAACCAAATGCAAGGGTCACCTTGAAGCAGGTCACATACGTGCTTGGTATAAAGTTACGACTCTTCTATTGCTGATCGACGCGTCCAGCTGTCACCAGGTACAAAACGGTGCCTATCGCACACATCCCAACAACCGCGCTACAGTTGGCTGTGCATGAGGAAGGAGGAGGAGGAAAGATATGGTGAGAGAGCGTAGACAGCGACGTAAACAGCGCGGTCAGTATCAACTGCCTCACTTTCCTTCGCTCTCAAATCGAAGTGACAGACCAGTGCTAAATGCGGCGTATCAACGTTGAGTCGTTTCCCGTGCAGCAAAAGAGTCACCGCAAGTCCATCTGGCGGGGCAAGTCCGGCGACAAGCGTCTCACGGACAGCGGAGGCGGCGGCGCCGATGACGACGTCAGCGCCGACAGCCTGTGCGGCGGCTCGGACAAGAACCACAACACGCGCGAGGACCAGATCCAGCGGCTGCTCACGCTCGTCGAGACGCTCAAGGAGGAGAGCACGCAGAACCTGTGCCGCACCAGGCAGCTCATCGAGACGCACAACCTGAGGCTGCAGCTCGAGGCGCCGTACCACCTGCGCGAGGAGCTGCTGCCTCCGCGGGCCGAAGGCGGACTGCCCAGGGGAGAGGCCGCGCCTTCCAGAAGGCACAGCCTGCCTGTGCTGCACACGGACGCTGGACTCCTGGGCACCGGGACCGGTGGGGCCACGGAAAGTGGCTTCCTGGCCGTCGCCAAGGACTACCTCCACGTAAGTCGGCATACATATAACTTGTCGAGGCGATCAAAGTAAACTTGACGGAAGTTCACTGCTTATGTGTGTAATGCAATTCATCGGGCAAGGTAGGTCGCTGCACTCTAACGCTGGAATCTAGGGGACGTGTGAACCTTGGGGCAACAACTGTGTCTTTGCAGCTGATGCAGTGGGTGGTAACAATATATACACCCAGGTACATCCAGGTACCTGGATGTACCTTGAGGAGATAACCTATTAAAAAAACGAACGACCTGGGCATATTTCCAGGCAAGAAAAATAAATATAGTACATACAGAGTAGCGAGAGGAACAGCTCACCAGTGCAGACCCCGAGGTGCAGTTGACCCTTCTGGGTCATGCCTGGCAAGTAGTCGTAGCCAGTGCAGCCTTAGACTCAGGGCCACACTCATGATATTCTACGCCCAATTTTGTCTTCACCTTTTGTTTGATAAAAATACCTCTTATCTGCAGCCATTGAGAAGACAGGTCTCTTGTAGAAATATGGTGAACCCTATTACCGCAGAATTAATTAAAATATTTTCAGAGAATCGACTATCATTAATATCAACTTTATCATGGTATTCTTACAAAGGAACCCTTTGATAAGGGCCTAACCAGTGTGGAGAGGAGCAGTGCTGTATTTTTACAACTGGCTCGTTTTGTGCGATTACGGCATCACAATGCGAACGTGTTTTCAGACGAATTTTGTTTTCGCGCTAATCCACGCAGGTGAAAAACTCCGGTGGCCACAAGAACCGCAGTCACTTGGAGTTTCCCACAAACTTCTTCGCGCCACGTGCGTCGATTCCTCTCTGCAACGGCCGCCTCTCGCACAGAGACTCGTACGACGCCTGACGTGTACGACGTCGAAATAGCTGTAACGAAGCCCATGGTGACCTTCGACCTGGACAGCTTGGACAGCACCACCATATGACCGGCCGCCGGCACAGAACTACGTCTTGTGCACATTGTACGTGGAAGCAACGAGCACATCGTCTTGCGAGAGTGTTGTAGCCGAAGTGGATCGTGGTGCATGGGTGCAGGAAGATGACAGTTTTGATCGGCGAGCATCTGTCACACATCAGCCTTCTTCGGTGATACCGGTGGGCTCAAAAGTAGCGGCTGTTGACTCGCTGAAAGAAAGCAAAGAAAAAATTATCGGTTAGCTGCCCATCGCAAGCGTAGCCAGTGAAGGCAACACTTTGCGGCAGAGTTGGAACACCCTTGAATTACGTCGTCAGCCGCTACCTTATTGCTTTCGCATAGAAGCAATCATCACGTACGAATAGCCAATAGCATCAGCTGAATCAGTCGTTTGACACCATTGGTGGTCGATCAAAGGCGATGAAGTTCGGACGTGCAGTGTGTAACGAAATGCAGTCACTGGTTTCGAGAGAAGATACATCCATATAAACGAAGGTATTTCTACAGGCAGTATCAATGTTGGCATGGTCTGTAGTAGCGGTGAATCAAAGCACAATACAACGTTTTTTTTTTTTTGAATTCCAGAAGGGCCCCGGTTCTTTGATGAAGTTTGAGGTGTCACGGCATTAAGGCGCATCTTTTGCACAAAAGTGGAGCGACGGGGGCGTCCGGGAGCACGCAGCCCGACGACAGCTAAGACAGTTATGCAACGATGTGTGTGAAACAACTCTAAGTAAAATTTCACATACGCAAGACTTCGAATCTCGTCGTCTCAGCTAGGCCACAAAACATCGCTCGAATGAGACACTACAATCAAGATCGTGTTGGGAATATGCGGCTACAACAAACTCCAGCTACTACAGACATATGTCGGTGCCGAGATAAGCGTAGCGAATGCCGGTGAATGATGGAGGGGGGGACGAAGGTTGGATAAGATAAGACAGCGTCGACGGTTTGATGAATGATAGATCCGCCTTGTGCATCGGGAACGTACGACTTTGTAGCCAAGAGTTTATAAACGTAGGCATTGATATCATCGTGCTGATAAAAGGACGTTCAACGTCGAATGTGCCCCGATGTGCGCGTATTGCTGGCTGCTTTGCCGTTATCAATGGACGAGAAAGTAGTACGTCGCGTCAAGCTGTGCTGTGATCCAGAACAAACGTAGCCGAGGTGAGTGACCAGATCTCCGTGTTGAATAACCTGGATGTACCTATACGGTGGACTTTTCGGTGTTTGTGCCAGATGCCCTCTTCAGCGTGGGCGTCACAGTGGGTGAAGTGTAAAAACGAATGTAGTACGTGTGTGCGCGCAATGGTGCGTCGACGTGTAATGCGAGAACACAAATGTGATCACGCTGTGAAAAGTAATACGGAAGATTCGAACGCCGCTGAACGAAACGTCATCTTTGTGAAAGTGTGGACAACTGCTGCTGGACAATCTCGCTTCCACGTTCACATGGTGCGCGATAAACTTTTCTAGATGACATTTTCGCCCGTCTGTGTTATAAACACGCCGTGATGTGTGAAACTGTGTCTACAAATGTGGGACTGCCCACACTGGCTGGGACGCTTAAGAGTGTATTTCGTCATTTTTGAGGCCGCGATATGAACAACATAGAACCTTCAGAGTTGCCCCAGTGCTGCTCAGTGCACTTTTCGTGTAGATATTAGTGTACATGTTTAGCGCATGTCCACGCACGTTCGATTAAACCAAACCGAACGTAGGCCCGGGATGTAAATATACACATTTGAGGAAGTGCTTAAATATTGCGCCCAATACGCGATGACAGGCTAGGATCACAAGCCGAACCCTTCGGGTTTATTCAGGTATAGTTTAGGTACGCCTGTCATGTTACACGATGTCTTATGAATGTTACATTTACCATAGCGCTGTGGGGCGTGTCTTCTTCGGCTAATGATGCAAGGTATTTTGCTATTGGTTTGTTAACGGGAAGCCTACACGTACTCATACATACAAAGACTTGGGTGTTGGAGTCAACCGTTTGTCTTCTTTACAGTCATCCGAAGTCCTACGACTACGCCATTTTGTTGCCAATTTAATAATATATAGTACGACCGGATGTGACTGTCGAGTCTGGAGCGCCATCAGAAGTTTTTTGGACTGTTTTTTGTATATACGGTGTGAAACCGACTCGTTTACTCCTCGGTGATGATGCCTTGATGTGCCAGTCACTCTCAAAGCGAGCATGCTCGGGCGTAATGATATTTTAAGTAGTATTAATATAAAAACATTTTCTAACTACAAACGCACGGTATGCGAACTTGGATGATAACGCAACACCGCTCTCGCCTTAGTCGCCGGTGTTCAATTCTCGAACATGGTGGGCCGTATCGCAGCACTTTAGCTGTTTCTTTCTTGGCCGTGATTCAAGGATAAGATTGCCACTGAGCTGGCGCACACAACGCGCTATACACCTGTACATAGACATCGTTTTTGTACACCTATACAACTGTAACGGAGTTTATCATTGCCACAGCTACGGTTATGGGACATTTGTTTTTGTAGGAGTTTGTATTATACGATATCGTTTCTCGATAACTTGTAAATACTTTGCTTTCCTATAGATTCTTATAGTAAAACACGACGACGTAGGACAAAAACAATTAATGGTGGTGTTTTCGTGTACATAGAGGGTTCTTTTTTTTTTGCTTTCTTCTCTCGTTGGTATACGCGTTGATCCGTGTATAGTTTGTGATTTGTATGCGTGTGATGCCGTCTGTAGAATTTGGAAAGTGAGAGAAGTTGCCTAGTGTGGAGACGCTAAACCGGTTCCTTGCCGTGACGCCATCTGATTCCTATTCCGATATACTCTAGATATGATCAGGCAGATATGATTCGTGTTGGCGCGTCGTAGTTGATCTTCGCGCGAAAAAGGTGAATGAAACACAAGTTGCTACGGGATCGTCGAAAAACAACAACAAGAATGAGACGACAGAAGTGCTGGCTGTTACACGGGGCCTTATTAGTTGCGCAGACTTGTATGCTTTATTGTACTAAGCTATTAAGTACCGAACACAAAACGCAACGGATGTGAGATAGCGGCAGAGTTTGAAGGGAAGCGTCCGCGCACCTATGCGTCTGGGAATACAACAGAGACATGGAATTATCTCGAAAGAGGGGTGAGGTGAGTTGTAATCTATAATATTTAAAACTACCGTAGATTTACTAAATGCGAAGACAACTAGTGAGAATATTTTATATTTTTATTAGCAAAAGATGACAAGTACAGTAAACAGCAAACGACAATAAAAAAAAATAAGAGGAAGGATTAGGGTGATATTGGCAATGAACAATGACGGGTGCGTTGCGAAGTGCGGGATAACTGATAAACAAATCGAGCCTTGCAGATGCGTAATCTCTTTATTAGATAAAAAAGCGACGGAATGCTGACGCAGCAGCTGATGCTTTTCATTGGTATACGCCCCCCTTCCCCCATTCTCACTTGCTCAATTGTGGTCAGAAACTACTAGGTTACAGGCAGATGTATTGTCATGCAGATAAGCTGTGAAAAGAAAAGAGAAGTCGTTCATCCGCGCCCATGTCGATTCGTCTTCCTGTGATATTGCAGGTATGGCGCAGATCTTTTTAGGGACGTTGCTCAATCAACTAACCTAACTTCGCGTGCAGCCCTAGCTATGGTGCATGACCTATTCAGCAGCCGACTAGCGAGGCTAGGTGGCCTATATCAACTAGCTCATTGAACTAGTTTATCAGGCAACTATAGCAAGAATTCGAATAGTGCACAGACGTACACAAAAAAATTATAATACGGATGATTAATGCTGCGTTGTGTAAAAACAACCGTTAAGCAAGAAACGTTGCTACAGCAAATGTTTCAAGTGAACGGGTCTTTGCCACCGCCTTAAAATTGTGAAGATAACGTTCACAAATAATAAATTTTTGGAAATGAATCGAAAATGGCTGAAATAGTGCCCAAAGTGAATCGGAAGCCTAAATATTCAAATAATTTGTGAACATTGCAGTCGTTTTATGAATATGTGTCACGTCGATTTTATCTATATTTTTATTTACTATTGTTTGCTCCATTGCTGTAGTAAGTTTGTTATTATTTGAGTTGGTTTTAGCATTCTTTAAAATTTGAAAGTTATATGTTTTAGTAGGTGTTTAGCCCTTTTATATAGCACCAGCTAATCTTTTTTCCCAAATAACAGAATTCGGCAAGACCGCTGCTGTTAGGGAAAGAAAAGGCAGATAGAGGAGCATCTTAAGAGAGTCTATGGAAGTCCGGCCATGAAAATTATCATATGTTCACGTAGTCTATGACGCAGTGACACGAAAAGCTACAAAAAATTCAGTCCAGTTCCACAAAACTATTCATCACATGTAATGTAATTGCACGAACACCGTTTATTCTTAAATTAACGTATTATCCAGTACCGTACCAACACTGAAATACAACTTGTCAAGTACATTTGTCATGCCACCCTCCTTGGTAGGGACTCTGCAGCATGTTAGCATGTTTAAATTAATGTTCGTGGCTACAGCATGCTCGGTAGACGAAAGACGTCGTCGGAAATTTGTCTCGGTATTGAGTTTTTTTTTTTTTGCGTGGATGGACTTGACATTCTGAAGTAGTCTTGAAATCATTTGAGAAATGTCATTTTTCAGAGGATGTCTTAAAAATCTGCACCGATACGAAAATTACGCATTTCAATTCGACAGTTTGAAGTTTTAAGGAGTTTGCGCATCCCTATACATTTGCTAGGTGCGGCTGTTATCTGCAAAATGAAGAAACCGGAAAGGATATGGGTGCTGTTTTCACTTTTTGCGAATAACAGGTGCTGACAGCGACCAAACGTGACGTTAACTACTAAACTTTTTGGAGTTAACAGGTCATAGATCACAAGGGGCCCTTAGACGGAAGATAGGTCGGCCATCGAAGTGACGGTCAGCTCGACTGCGACACCTTATCCCAGTTTATACAACTTCACATTTGCAGGGGAATGCGAACTGCATGGTTTCAAGTGCCAAATCTTATCGCAGTTTTGTCAAGTGCCAATGACGTCCAGTATTTCAATTTTAATGTTTTCTAAACATGCCTATATGTCTGAAGTGCGCAGAATACAAGGGTTTAGGTGCAAAATTTTAGTGGGCCGAACATGCAGGACCATCGGGGGGACGTGGAATCTTATCTGCGGCAACAAACAAAAGGTTTAGGGGAAGTGCCGTGCTGTACTGAAGGGCATTGTCGAATAACTCTACCGCAATTTTTTTTTTTAATTTGTCATCTTTTTGGGTCTGATCGGGCCAAAAGGCTGCTAAAGCCTGTTTCATTTGTTTAAAGTGCTGGCATGACAGTATTGATGCAACGTGTCGGAATCGAACGGCGTCTTGATTATAGCCCGTATATTTGAATTTCGATTAGTAGATCCAACTAAGTTAACTCGAAATCACACGTGAAGCAAAAGCTCCGTTTGTAAACCTTCAAACATTGAATCTTGGAAGAGTATATTTACCCTGTCCCCTCCATATACGCGCAGACTTCTACGCCTAGCGCATGGAGCGTCGAGGTTCGTGAAACGTAGCCTTTCCTGTGCAGCATGCGTTTTTCGTGATGTAGAGTTCAACGCTGTACGAACGCGAGTGACCTTTTTTCTGCCATGCGTAGATATACAACGACATTTCGTGCCACAGAGATGAGGCGAATGAAAATAGACACAAACTGTTGCCCAACTTGGCCTAAACGTCGTCCTGGTACATGACAACGTATTTTCCAGGTGCCGTTTAAAAAGAAAGAAGTGCAGGAACACAACGAATAGTGCTGTCATAGATGAAACGTAGTAACAGCCAACCAGGCCAGGCAACATGACGCCACAAACGATCTCAGACGAAGATTAACTAACGGCCTTATTGTTATACGATGGTGTGAGCTGTGCGTGCCAGAGTGTATGTGTGTTTGCGTCACATGCTATTATACATATAAGTCAGTACTATATATCTATAGCGTTGTGCTCACACTTGTTCTGCCCTTTACCTTTTTTTTTCTTTGTAAATAAAAGATCATTTTAACCCTGTTACTACGGGACTCTTGTGGTGTTCTTTTCAACCCCCATGCTACATATTGCTACGCTGCGCGTACTTTTGCCTGCCCAACGCGGTGCATGGCTATGCTATTTTCTTTACCCTTTCCCTTCTACTTTTCCGTCCTCCTCACCCTCACATAACTTATCCTCCCCGTGAGGACAAAACAGCCACGCTTTGAGTGAAACAGTTGTCCTCGCCGGTTATCAAGCTACCGCTTATCAAATAAGGCCATAGAGTTTCCTACAACACTTACTGCAAGGACAAGACTGGACTATGAATGTGCGCGCGTGTGCTGCTGAATGTGCTGTGTTTCTCTCTTCCCTTTCTGCTCTCTATCTTTCATCTCCCCATCCCCCTCCCATGCACAGGGTAGCAAACTGGCTGCCTATAGGCTGGTTAACCTCCCTGCCGTTCTTTTCCTCCTATTTTCCTTCCATCCTTACTGCAAGGAACTGTGACGCTACTGTGGTTCAGCCACCACGGGAATGATGGGTAGTACACAAATCAGCCTAGTCTGCATTCTTGTGGCTTCGAACGTGTCTGCAGATTCATTTATTATGATTTGATCGATTTGTGGGGTTGAACGTCCCAAAACCACCATATAATTATAGGAGACGCCCTAGTGGAGGGCTCCGCAAATTTCGACCACCTGGGGTTCTCTAACATGCAACCAAATCTGAGCACACGGGCCTACAGATTCGTTTATTGTGGTGTTCCGGCTTTTATTTCGGGTCAGACAATGGCTTGATTGTGAATCTCGTGAGCTTTTTACAGTTCAGGCTGTTGTGTGATCACTCACCAACAAGGGTCGCGTGAACCGTAGATGCGACACCGCCACCGGTGTCTGTAACCACTGTCGCTCAAAATAAAAAAAAGAAACTGAGTGAATGAAAAAAGAAACACCAAAGAGACAAGTGATATTTGAACTAGGAATGTAACGCTGAGAGCGGCCAGCAGATCGAAACGTGCCGCGGGCTGCTCAAGCACAAATGACGCCCGAAAACAACACACACAAACGAGGGTGCACTAACAACAGCTCGATACTCGCTGTTTAAACAAAAAACGACGCAAGAAACGTAACCACAGGTGAAGATGTGAGTGCAAACTAACAAGTGACCCAGTTGTTACTTCGCCGTGTCTGAAAAGCGCACTGTTTTCGCACACGGGGCCTGTGCAGCGAGCGAAGTGACCTTCGTTCGCACACGGGGCCTGTGCAGCGAGCGAAGTGACCTTCGTGCGCCCGGCAACTACAAGGCAATCGTTCCAGTGTAAGCCGGAGGCACACGATCCTCCCCCCACCGCAGGATAAGCGCACGCGCCCGAGCGTCTACCCGACCATTCTCCGCGGGTCAAAGTACACGTGGGAAGTGGCGCGCGTCGGCGCATTGCGATGGTAGAGCTGAGCGCTGAGCGCGCTCATTGCGCCATCTCGCTGGTAATGCTGAAAGCACGCTGATATTTCCCCCGAGATTGACTACGCCAGCGTTGAGTGGTAGTTATAAATAGCTTGCCGTTTGAACGTTCAAGTGGCTCAGTGTCTAACGACATGCCTTCAACTGGCACAGCGATCAACACGACGAAAAAGAGGACGACAACAGATAGAATTGGCGTGAGCTCTTCGTTTTGGCAGCTCAGCTCATCTAATTAGTTGTGAACCTAAAGTTGTGAACCAACAGGGTCTGCGCCTGTTGGGCTTTTCTTCCACGGGGCAGTATATATAGACACGTATACATACACGGCGAATGACGGCGGCGACTGACGCCGACGTCGAAGCCGGCGGCAATAACCAGCGGAGAGTGTCCATAGTATTGCTATCGTAATAAAAATTGGGTGAGTCCTCCTTGGAATGCCTCCTACAACTCAACGTAATGCACTTAGCTTTGAGGGTTATAAAAAATATCGCCTAATTGATCTTAATCAATTATCAAATAAGTGTAATTTGATGGGTGCCCTAACTAGTCAAAAGTAAGCTCTCCGAATTTCAACCAGATGTATCAGCTAGATCAGCTGGAACGTATCTCTGTCAGCGCCCAAGATTGAGATTTTCAGACAAGGTAGAAACAGTCGACTTCCCCACACTACTCGCATGCATAGTGATGAAGACATTAGTCCAGATACTCGTCAGCAGGATGTGGTCATGTAGAAAACTTAATTTTGATTTTCGAGATCTGCAGAAGTGTATGCCTTTCCAATGTAATTAAGGGACGTGCCGAATATGAAAAAAAGTAAGGGATTAACCCTGTGCCCTCAGGTAATACTTTAAAGAAATCGTTTTAAAGATTACATGATTACGTTTCTGGGGAAGATCAAATTAGAATTTTATGGCAAGAAAATTGTAGAGTTCGACGGGCGTCCACGAACTCTCTCGTTAATTATGTGAAGTAGACCAATCAAATTTTAAACAGAGTCACAGTTTCACCTGTAGCCCGAAACACTGAAAAGCATCATATTTGAATGACACTCGAAGTGAGGCTAGCAGCCGACTCCAAGCCAATCTGATGCTAACCCCTTTGGACTTATGTCTGCGCTCAGTTAAGCGATGGAGTAATATATGTTACGCTATGGTTAAGCAACGTCTTCGGACGACCGTTATGTATATGCTTACCACTGGCGCGCTAAAAATGAAAGAGGCATTCGCGACCTTCGTGCAAAACACGTACGTGCCAATCCATTCCTCGTTGATGCGTGGTGAGTAGCCAAAATCCGCAAGGATAAATATTTGAAGCTTGGCGTAAAAGGGGCCGTCAATGACACACGTAATCAAGGATTTAGCAGACACATTACACAGCTGCGCTAATAGACAATCCTCGCGGAGTGGAAGAGCAAATGATTTTTTGTTTAATTTTTTTTCTGGCTTTAGGATATGACAAAGGTTACTCAGACACAATATTCGGATAAAAAAACTTGTACACTACATCAATCGTTTTGCCGCACATTTACTGCAGAAAGTCTGTGAAGCTATGAAATAACACTGGTCCGAGTTGCCTTGATTTTTCCCATAGTCTTCCACTCGTATAGTTTATACCTACAACGTCTTCGACATTTACGCACTAAATATTTTCTCCGAATGCGGTGGCATGTCATGAAGTGAAGTGGATCAAACGTACAGGCCCAACTAGAAAACGCAGAACACTGCGCTCTGAACAATAAGGCCTGCCAACGGATCGTAGGAAACATCTATCCCGCCAAGGCGACCAAGGCGATCGCTGCTGCAACGCCGAACAGTGCCGAACGCGCGAAAGACATTTTCCTCATATATGACCTCCGAGATAAAGCGCAGCGCTCTCTCGGAGGCTTCAGTGAAAGCGCGACGCAAACGTGTCTTGCAATATCGTGCAGCCTTGGCAGTCTCGGAGGCCTTGTGTAGAACCTGTGTAGAAAGGCAAAGAGGCGAAAACTTGGTGCCATCGTCAAGCAAGTGAATAAATAACATATGATGCTGGGAAAAACTGGGTGCAGTGTTTAATTTGCCTTGCTAGCGACATGAAAAAAACACGCGTGCATAGTGTGTTATGCATCGAACACATGTGATCGTTCAGAGAGCGCGAAGTACCTATGACGGTAAACACAAAAATAAAATGTAAATGGGAAGTTAAATTAACGCGATGTTTAATAGTCCAATTGAGGTAGGGACTACGCCAACGCTTAGAATTGGCGTCAAATGAAAAGCTTTTCGTCTTGTCTTGTTACGCCACAAGTGCGATAGATGGCGACAGGGGGCTAAAAACTTGGCGCGCTTTTTTTCTTACGTTGCGCAATGTCGCCTGCTGAGGGAGCGCCGCCGGCGAATTATGTACGCGTAGAGCTGGGCAAGCCGTAAACGTCAAAAACGCGGTACGAAAAAGAAAAGCGACAACGAAAACAACAAGTCGTTTGAGCGAGCCGCAAGCAAACCACGTGTTGACTTGGTCGCCGAAATCGCTTAATTGTGAGTTGGGCCGGCACGTTTCGTTTTGCTTTTCCCCCGCCGTGCACGACGTGATCACAACCCCAGCAGGACGAGCAAACCGGACGTTGGAGCTTGGAAAATCTCCGATGTACCGTACGTACTGCATGCACAACTGCGTGGCCCCGCGTGCCGATATTTGTGAGAGGCACTTGGCGGTTTGTGTTTTTACGTCGCGGTCGCGTGTCCAGATGAATCGACGCCGCTGAAAACACGAACGGGAAGTGGTGCGCTGCGCAGCTCCTGGGAGTTTGCGTGGTTTCGTTTCCTCCAAACGGCTGTCCACGAATTTATTTCGGATCCGAGAGCGAGGAAAGCACGAACGAGTGTTTTCGAAGACAAACATCGAGAAGTGCAAGAGGGGGTGCGTCGAGGAAATATTTACGCGCTCAGCGGTGGCCAAGCGGCGACGAACGAAGTTGTCATCTTTCAACAACACCGCGTGGGGTTCGGGGGGCATACGCCGGACGACGAGGAAAAGAAAAGCAACAAGTGTCGCACCAGATACAAACGCACAAACCATCGCGGCGCCTCGATAATTGGGTCGCATGGCTGGCGGCGCGGCGACGACGTGCGAATAGCGTGTGTGCGGCGTAGCGCACCGAACGTGTCGACGTCGGAAATCGGCGCTGTTGCTTGCAGGTTTTGGAAGCCTGTACTGCGGTGTGTGTGTGTGTGTTGCAAAGCGTGACCGAACGTCGACGCGCAGCGTTGTGGGGAGAAAAAAAGAAACAGAAAGAAAGCCGGATACGTGGTGGAAAGAGATACGGGCATAAAGAAAAAAAAAAAGCTGGCGTTCCGAGACGAGCAGCGCGGTCGACCAACGCCGCGACGCGATCCTCCTCTTGAGCAACTTTTGAAACACGGACGACTACTACGACGGCCAAGAAGAGACGCTCCGGGGAGGACGTCGGCGTCGGATTGCACCCGATAGTAAGCACCCCCGCGACGTTTTTGTTAGCGTGTTTTTGCTGTTCGTTGCCGAACGTCACACCAGGCGAGCGAGCGGGGGAAGACGGCAGTGTACCGTTTTGTGTTTCCGACGAGAATTCCACCCTTCTTTCGACAGCGGTGTGTGGAACGGTGTGCCTCCCCGTCCGTGCTTCGCCGAGTGCTGTGGTGGTTTCAGTTTTCGCAGGGGAAATACCGTTCCCACGTCGCTTTCGCAGACGACCCGTTTGTGGGACCGGGCTTCTGTCTACCGTTTCTTACGACGCGTCTGCGCGGGATTGGAGCTTCGAGCGTGAAATGTGACATCCCATCCGTGCTTCGGGCGGAGGATTTCGCATTCGCGCGCGTGTTGTGTTGTGCCGCGTGTGTTTCGTCGCGTTGGAGGCACTTACAGCGACCCGCGCGTTTGTTGCACAGCGGAGTGTGTCGCGCGCTATGGAGCCCGAGCGGCGTGGCGACGACGGCGATAGCGGCGAGGCCTCGCCGACGTTCCGCCGCGTCGGCAGTCGTACTCGCTCTCGCAGCTTCAACAACAGCACCGCCGCCGCCGCTTCGTCCAGCCCATCCCGGAAAGAGGAGTGCGGCGGATCGCGTTCTCCTCGCGCTGTGGCCTGCGGCACCACCACCAAGAAGGCCTACTCGCTCGAATCCATCCAGCGCTGCAAACGCTGGCGGCCCTGCCAGTTGCTGCGCGAAGTGTTCGCCAAGACGCCGCTTCTGTTCGGCGCGCGGCGACAGCCGCACAAGGCGACCACGTCTTCGATGGCTCCCGAGACGCTGTCGTCGGAGGACAGCGGTCACGCCGAGTCGCCCGTCTCTCTGGTGTCCGTCGTGATCGAGACGCCGCCGTCGCCTCCCGGCGTCGGAGGAGACCCGCCTTCCAAGTCCAGGAGGTCCTGCAGCGCCGACTCGGCCGTGGATTTCGACACGGGCGACGAGGCCCTACTTGTGTCGCCTCTCGGTGGTGATGGTGATGGTGGCGGTAGTGATAACGGTGGTGATGTTTCTGCCAACGGCGTCGTTCTGGTGGACAACAGCTCCGTAGTGGACCGCCACTGCACCGTCCTGGTGGACGGCGGAACCGTCGTGCTGGACGGCAACTCGCTGCACCAGCCTCCGCACCCTCAGCACCAGCTGCACCGCACGAGCCTCCCGGGCGACAGGTCCAAGCGGCCCCTGTCCCAGTGTCTGTCCCTGTCGTGTCCCGTGCTGAGCGCTCCGAGCGTCGTGGTGAGCGACTTCAGCAGCTGCGACGTCTCGCCGGAGATCATCGAAGAGGTGGACGCCGACCTGTCGCCCGGGGGCGAACTCCGAGACTACCTCTCGCTGGGCGGACGCTCGTGCAGCTCGTGCTCGCTCTCGTCGACGGTGTCCAGCGCCTCGTGGGACGACGAGGCGTCGCAGAGCGACGTCAGCGAAGCCGGCTCGGCGTGCTCGTCGAAGGTGAGTGAACCCTCCGACCTCTTTATCGCCCACGTGCACGGCGTCCTCTCGCTTCGCTTCGTCGGTCACGCGGCCGCGATGTGGACGCGGATGCTACGTGCGACGCCGGTTGGATCTCTGCACCAGCGAACGCCCAGAGCGAACCAAACACAACTTGCTCATGGTTGAGACCGTGTTGACGCATAAGCGAAATTTGAAGTTCTAGCTGAAGTATTAAGAAAGAGAGGAAGATACAGTGTGCTGTTCTCTCTTTCGAGATTCCTTTGATTGATACTTTTTGTGGTAGAATAAGCAAAGCCGAAGCTATTGCTCGGGATAAGCTCAGGTGTATAATTAGTATGAATTGCGTTCGACATTTACATAAATAAATATATATATATATGTATGTATCACATGTGATTCACAGTTTCACACTAAACATGCGTATATAAACACACTAAATACACACATATATACTAAACACACTAAACATGCATATATATATATATATATATATATATATATATATATATATATATATATATATATATATATATATATATATATATATATATACCATATTTCATATTTGATTCATAGTTTCACACTAAACATGCAGCCGAAATTATCCCAAGCCATGACCTGCTGCCCTTGGCGAAAACTTCCAGCGAAAGTAGTGGGCCAATGTGAAATTACTCCGACGTTTCGGCTCTGTTATGACCGGCATCAGTAGGCGCCATGCTGTCGCTGAGAAGCGTGGCCGGGCAGCGTTCCCACGCCTGGAACCCAGGTTTTCTCGGAACCAGCGTCCAGAAATGACGAGGGAGCGGCGCTCTTTTAATCTTCAAACAAGTAGCCGGCTCGCCGAATGCCTATGCCCGCCAGGCATTGTCCCTGCTAGCCGGCGGATGAAACGTCACGTCGCCACGAAGCGGTAAGCCGTTCCAGAGGGGACAACAAAGACAGCGTCTTCCTTTGTAGAAACGGCGACCGCCGCCACAAAGTGCCCTGCTAATTGAGCAGACAGATTGGCGGACCGTTTGATGTCTGCTGTCGGAAGCTTGGGACCCCTCGACCAGTGACACACACGCCGAGCAAGAGCCCCTCTGGCGCCACCTTTAAGTGCAGTGATCTTGACTCGAAATTGGATGTTCACGTGCGCCGTGCATGCTCGTACCCCTCACCTGTTGTGTGTGTGTGTGATTGGTGTTCCACTGAAGAAGGAGGAGCCCGACAGGGCTTATAACGGCGCCGCAGAGTGCAGGACGTCGCTCTGAACCAACTAAAGGTTCAACCACCACGTTCGTAGTTTGTGAAGGCTCTGAACCAACTAAAGGTTCAACCACCACGTTCGTAGTTTGTGAGCGCTCTGAACCAAGTAAAGGTTTAACCACCACGCTCGTGGTTTGTGAACTCTTAACCTCATGCTGTAAATATTTGTAAATAGTGCCATAAACCTTGTTTTGTTTTCGTATCCTCAAGCGACCTTCCTTCCGACCCGCAACAACTGGTTGGCATCGGAGGGATTCGAAGCTACAAGTGACAACAACAGTCGGCCCAGGAGAAGCAGCTGGCTCGAGACATGGATCACGTATGGGTGAGTGCTTGGCTTTTCCTTTGAGTGAACCAGGTTCTAAAAGAGGGTTAAATTTTAGAACTGGTAGTTAACTTTGCCGAAAGACTCAGTTTCGCCGTTTCGGAAAGTTATTTTGGAAGTAGCGAGCACTCAGTACGATCATGGACTTACGGGAGCTGCAGAAGTCAGACTTGTTGCTGTTGTGTGAGGAATTGGGGATCGATACAAAGGGTTTGGCACGAAAACCCATAATCATTCAAGCGATTAATGATTTGGGGGCTGATGATGAGGAACTAAGTGAAGAATGGGACCTCATCATCGAAAGAAAACTAAGAGCAGCTCAGATGGAAGGAAAGAGTGAAGACGAAAGAGAAAGCCTCAAGCTAAAGTTTTTCAAACAAGACTATGAGTTGAGTATGAGGTTGGGACGCCAGCAAGGAGTACTCGAAAATGAGGCAGAGTTCGAGATGTCTAGGTACATGCAGCCATATGAGGTATCATGGGATATGGGCCTGTATCTTAGACTCTTTGAACGAAAGTGTAGTCAACTTAAGTGTGAGCGAGACACCTGGTCTCAGAAGCTACGCACGGTTCTGCCCTGCGAGGCAGCGGATGTTGTTGCGCGACTCAGTGAGCAGCACGCGAACAACTACGAAGTTGTTAAATCAGAGCTAATCAGAAGATTCGGAACTTCTGTTAGCCAAAATAAAGAAAGAATCAGACCAGAGTCTGAAAGTGAGGCGCGTCACAAAGCGCTGGAAGTTGTGGCGCGTCATGAAGCGCTAGAAACACAGATTGCGGCAGAAAAGGGCCCGCGAATTCTCGAAGGCGTCAATCTAGAGCATGTCGAGAACGAGCCCTTGGCCAGTCTCGAGGTAGAGACAGTATCAAAAGACGGTCCTTGCGGGGATGAGGTGTGTGCCAGCAGCCCTAATGGGCTCAGTAAGGAGCTGGAAACCATCCCCATGCCTCGAGAGGACGTCTCGAAATTTTCACATCTAGATATGGTTAGTGCAGTGGCTAATGATTGCAAGAACGCGAAGCTTCAGGAGTGCAGCGATGCCATCGGAGTGGGCCCAGTTAATGGTTTCATCAGCATTAACAAAGATAATTTGGCCCGGCAGTCCGTCGTGACACCGAGTATAAAATGTTTGAGCGTGGGGGAAAATGTAGCACTAGCTCCAACAAGCTTCCCAACCACTCAGTTCCCGACGCGACATGATGATGGCATCGAGAGAAAGGAGGCAAGAAAACATCGCCGAAAAAGAAAGAAGCGGAAGAGCACCGCACTGTGTAAGCCTAGGGCAGATCCCACTCCACCTCGAGAGAGACGAAAGGCTAGGCCGTCAATCCGTTCCAGGAAACGTCAATGGTGGCGTTCAGAGAGGTACAAGCGGCGAGCCAGGTGTAGAGAGGAGAAACGAGGTGAACGAAAAACGCGGTTGCATTCGACGACTTCGGGAAAGCGGCCTTGCCCGATGGGTCAAAGTCGAAAGCGCAGAGTGACTAAATACCGCGTAGGGGAGAACACAAAAGAAAAATGGCACAGGTTTCACCCCTGCTCCTCGCGTCCTTTTCACATTCCTGAGGGGAACAGGAAGAAGTGGAAAATGAGGTATGACGGCAGTGCACTGCTTAGAGTTTGTGCATTTTGTAGCTTCTGGCGTGCTCGAAAACCGCCGGGACCGCGACCCCATCGTGTACGAATAAAGGAACCATGAGAAAAGGGGGAACGGTCAGTTCGAGTAACTTTTGCACAGGCGTGTCAAATATTGTTACTCAGTTTTGCATTGGAAATGCAGATTTGAGCCTTTTAATTTTGTAAGTAATGTAAAGCGGTGTAAATTTTTGAAAGGGAAAACCGCCGAACTAAAGGCTGAAAATTGAAGTCCATTAATCATTTGTACGAATATACCGAGAAGGTAAAAACTAAAGAAAAATTGTTCTGTTTTTTTTAGTGTTTCAAAGGTTTAGTTTAATATCGTATGCCTTTACTGTCATGTGGATGTGGCGTGAATTGGCATTTAAGGAAGAAGATATTAACATAGACCAGATGATTTCGTAAAATGGTTAAGTTTGGCGCAACACAGTGCAGTTGTCGTTGCGCGTTATGAGACTTGAGAGCCATTGGCACACGGTTTTATAAAAAAAACCTTCGCGGTTGTTGTGAGGTGCTTTTCAGGTGTTTTTACCTATGGTTATTTTTGTGTTGTACACGGTGTGTTACAATGTAACGTAAGAAAGACAAAGTGTGAGGGATTAAGCGTTTGGTTAATAGCGCCGTGTATTTTGCAATGCTTAGAAATGAGAGTAATTGAACGCTCAGGAGAGCCCAGTGAGATTTACTCAGAGGCATTAGCAAAGGCAATTTGCTTCAACCAAACGAACCTTCTAGAAGGAAGTGTTTGTTACTTTTTTGTTGTCTTCTTTGAAGAGTGATTGATCTAGTGATCATGAGCGGATCCTCAAGCATTCCCTAACCGTTGAGGTAGACCGTTAGGTCACAGCTTAGGTTAAGCTGTCGGGAGGCTGGTGAGCTTAATGTCTTAAGTAGTAGACGGTTGTTGGCGGACGTAAACAAAGACTGACGTTGGAACAATCTTAGCGCTCGCTGAATTCGAGTTCCGGACCAATGCTCTCAGCGGGACAGAGCCGTGTAAGTAGTCAGCGACAAAAAGAAGGAGGCTGCCGTTATATGTCTCGACGACAGTGGTAACAAGCAAAGCTGCACTTTACTTGAGCCAGAAATTGGGCTACAGGAGATAACGTACTGCGCTTCAGGAAAGGAGTGCGCTTGCCTTGTGTAGGGCATTCATCAGTGGCAGTGTTATCTCAAAGGGGCTAAATTTAAAGTAGGAACAGACCATTTTTCCCCTTACTTGGCTGCAAACCGTGACATCAAAGAACAGTCGCCTTGTGGGGCGGAGCTTGATTCTTCAAAAGTATAATTTTGGCATTGTAAAGAGCAAATTGAATGGAAACGCGGACGCGCTCAGCCGCTCTTTCTAAACCATTCTGGAGTGCTCTTTCTGTATCAAAATTGATAATTTAGTTTTTTTTCGTGCATCTTATGTAAATTTGTAAGGTAGCACGTCCGGTTTTTCAGCTCAAGTGAGTCCTCAGAGTTTTGAGTGTGAGCTTTTGTTAAAGCTAGGAAATGAAAATTGGTTTCCATCCCTCTTTTGGCTTGGTTTGATCGAAGGGGGCCGAGTGCTTGCTTGTACAGGTGGTCGAGTATCAGAGATGCTGTCGAAGATTCGGCAATCACCCGGACCATGCCACAAGCGAAGGCCAGTTCCTGGCATTCAACTACTGACCTTTTCGTCGTCCCTGCGAGCAGCAGTGTTGACTGCTGCCCTCCGCGACTCATCTGGCGAGGGGGAAGCTGTTATGACCGGCATCAGTAGGCGCCATGCTGTCGCTGAGAAGCGTGGCCGGGCAGCGT